GGGAAAATTGGAATAAGGACAAGAGCTGCATAAAAATTTACCTCCGTATTATTTATAAAAGTTTATTCCCTTACTGTATTGCAAATCATTTTTTTCCCCACATCTATGCTTTTTCATGCAATCTATGCTCTTTCACTTGGATTTATTAGCACAAATGACAGTGCTCATCCTCAAAGTTTACTTGTTATTTTAGTTAGCTTTCACTGAGCAATGACCTCCAGTTTAGTTTTGTCTCTAGTTTTGCTTCCTTAAGTAACACAGATCTAGCACCTTTTAAATCAAAACAGAGATTTTTCTTCCACCTCTGATTTTCTGAATCTCATTGTATTTTTTTAAGCTAGCTATATAATTTTGTTAATTCATCATTGGCTATAGTTATAAAGTTAAATTTGTTCTGATGCAAAACTTTCTGCATAGTGAAACCAGTTTGATCAGAATATGCAAGTAAATGGACAGCAGATTAGAAGGAGCAATGAGGTCTAATCAAACTGTCTAAACTTTAGACTAAAAGTTTAGACTATTTTAAGTGTCCCAGATTGATGTCTTTTAAAAGAACTATTTCTTTCCTTTGATAATACTGGAGATAGAAATTCTCAACTCCTACTACTTTAAACTATAAATTATTGATGGATTTAATCTACACACTATATGCTTTCTGCCTCCTCTGTGTTTAACTGCTTATTTAGGATTTCTAGGCCTAATTCAGTTCAATTTTCTATCCACTCCCCTTTTGTTATATATACAATTTTTTTTTTAAAGGCAAAGATTTCCTTTCTCTATAGTGATACAGATCATCAGTGAACTTATTAGTCACACTTTTTGCTGGGAGTTCATCTGTTTATCTGTGGATTTCAGTCATTCTGGCAGCAGTTATCACTCTCACACTCAAAACCCTGTGCTTGGTGGCTGTGTGTATGTGTATGAATACATACATAAATATCTCAAAGGTCACATTCCTGCTATATTTGACAGATTGACTATATTATCCTTCAAATGGCCTTTTTAGAAGTTGTCTCTGCACATCATAACTGCAACATTTCTAAAGTGATATTGTGTAATTTGGAATAACTGAATAACTCTTAAAATATATTTTAATGTAGTCTGATTCCATTTCATTTTTCCCCCTTATTCAGATTCATGCAACTCCTTCTGCTAATCCCTGCTTTAGAATACTTAATTCTCCAAACTAAGTTGCCTAAATCTCTTCACTCCACTTAAATTCTCTTAAAAAAAAAATCTCTTTAAAGTCTTCATGTATCCTTTCATTATAAAAGTGTCTAGATGGGTCTAGATGGAAAAAAAGCAAACCACTCCACCTCACTCACAAACATTCATGTACTTTCTGTCACCTAAAGGGAGACTTTTTCTGCAGATTCGTTTTGTAACTTCAAAATGGATACATTCAACTGATGGAAAAATATAATTACTGTCCTTAAGATAATTCATCACCAAACTACATTTGTGACATCAGTCATTATGAGGTCTAATGCATGTAATTGGCAAATGTGTTTGCACCTCATACTTTATTCTAATTGACATCCACCATGTTGCTGCTGACAGCTTTTCAGCCAAGATGAATGCTCTTTGCCAAGAGCTATTACTACTTTGCTGAGGCCGCCATACATGGATACATTACAGTAAGGGTACAGCGTAAAAATTTGCTATGTTTTTTACTGCTCAGGTGTCTAGGTTCACTAGCGCTGAATAGCAAAGCTTTGACATGCATCAAGTAGATCCCTGGCAGTCTGACGATATGTCACTTCTGAGCATTTTATACAGTACACCAAAAGAGGACCATTGAAATACTGAAAGGCTACCATGTGCTTTGAAGCCCTAAATATCATTCATGGAAGATGATTCTTTATAAATTACATCACTGAAGAAAAATGTTTTACTAAAGAAGTTATTATTAAACTTTCTCTCCCTTTAATTAAAAAAAAATTAAAAGCACAAATTACATTCAGTTCACAAAAAATAATGAACACTGTAACATGAAAGCTACACATCTGGTGAGTTGCTACACACATCTGTACTTCCAATGTATCTTCCAATGCTACCTCTACAGGCTTTCACACTTCCTTTTTTCATACATGGTAAGAGATATTTTTCCTTCTCATGGACTTCTGCGAAATCACTTTAACATTAAAGACTACATGTGGTAAAAGTCAAAAAAAATGTTATAGTACAATTAAAGCAAAATTTTATGTCATGCTTTGCAGATGTTATTATATTCAGGTATGTTTGACATTTTTGTTTTCTATCTTCATGCTTTTCTTTGTAACTACATTTCCGATAATCAAGAACTCAACACTTTTTGTTTTTAAAATACATTTTCATTTCATTTTAATCCATGTTATAGGTGTAGTAACCAATTCAACTGTAACTTACCTGAAATATGTTGTCCACAGCAGATGGACTATTTTGTGATCATCTTCCTCCAGTAGTCTCCAAATTTTATTTAAAAAACTACAGTTAGTTAGAAGGGAAAAAACAGTGGCAAGAACCTATTCTCCTTTTCTTATTTTAGCAAATGTATTAATTTAGAGGGACATAGTTTTCATTTTGATAAGCTCTAAGCACTGTTCAAACTTTTCTAGGTATTAGGTAGCAAGCCTTTTGGTATGTCACTTCTCATAAAGTGCTTATAATAAGATATTGATAACATTTCTATTGTTCTAACTCTTCCTTTTCAAGCAGCATGAATTGCATCATGAAGTTTCTACAGCTTCATAATATCTCACAATTTACATGTTGTTTAAAGAATTATCTATATAATATTTTATCGTATTCATGTGAAATATTCTTCCACAGGCTGCGCTTGACATATTAATAATTTAAGTAACAATTCTGATGCAGTTTTTTCCCCCCTCTTTGGGTAATTTCAAATGGTCAAGTCTTTAAAGCTTCATGCTATCAAAGCCAGTTTCAGAAAATGTGCCATTTCACTATGCAGCGGTGAAGACCAATGATTTGAATTATCATAAAGAAAGTAGTTGGTATTTTAAAACAGCAAGCATGTGTGCTACTTTCCATGTTAACAGGCCTATTTTTTCAGTTTAATTCTTATCTGTCATCGTTTCTGAGTTCTTATCAGAAATTAGCTTCCTATTTTAAAGATAGTAATTGGACATCATTTTTCCACAAAGACCAAAAAAAGGATGTTTTCTATAACATACATTGTACAAGAGAACTGTCTTTATACTTTTAGAAAATGAAATTGTGTCTTCCATATCTTAAATGGCAAAGAGTGATAGGAACAATAAATAAGGTAATGTAATCACATAAAACTCTAAAGACATGTTACTTAGACTGTATCCCTATACATGTTACTTAGACTGTATCCCTATATATCCTAGACTGTATATCCCTAACCAAACCAATGTGTCCTAGACTTATCTTAATAACTGTGTGAAAAACAATGGAAATAAAACATTAAAAGATTATCAGAGTAGATTATTCTAAAAAATCTAAATAATTTCTTTTAGTCTTGTGCTGAACAACAACTCTCAGATTTCAAAAATCAGGCTAATTTTCTTTTCTTATACTTTGCATCTACTTTTTCAAAACCCCATGCATCCCCACATGTATGTATTAGATACAAATACCTGGGAAGGAGTTGAGCATCATATATATTTAAATTGCATAATAAATACCTATATGCTAGTAGCATTGTGTAATGCCATTTCAAATTTCAGATTTTCAAAAACTCTCTAAATTTGTACATACTATAAATTTAGGTTTTATCATAGGTGTATGATGGTTGGAAAGGACCTTCAGAGGCCCTGGTCCAACCTCCTTGTCCAAACCAGAGGATAGCATCATGTCGTCACCCAGGGCCTTGTCAAGTTTTTGCATCCCCAAGGATGGCTATTCCCCAACCCCTCTGGGTTAGTGTGTTTTTTAACAACACTCATAGTCATTTTTTTTTTCCTAGTACATGATCACATCATGCCCTGTTTTAATTACCTCTTATCACTGTGCATCTCTGCTAAAGGTCTAGCTCCATCTTCTCTCCAATCAATTAACTGTAGAAAGCAATCAAATCTCCCCTTGGCCTTTTCTCCTCCAAGCTGAACATGCCCAGGTCTCTTGATCTGTCCTTGTATGCTATATTTTCCAGTCTCCTGACCATCTTGGTGGCCTTCTGCTGAAGTCACTCTATTATGTCCACAAGATTTTTTTCTAGAGGAGAAGGATGCAGGCCTTGCTAAAATGAAGATGTACAACATCCACTGGTTAAGTATAGCCAAGTATGACCACCCTTGGGTAAAGCTTAGCTTCATATTTTCAATTGTCTTGTCTTTCACATGTTAAAAGGGTTTTTAAGGAAATTTGCTCCATAACTTTACCAGGCATCTCATTGTCAGTAAGACTGACAGACCTTCAGTTTCTGCGATCTTCCTTCTTGCAGACAGGTGTTATGTCTGTTTTTTTTTTTTTTTTTTTTNTTTTTTTTTTTTTTTTTTTTTTTTTTTTTTTTTTTTGTCTCTCCAGTTATCATAAACCTCTCAATTGCTATGACCCTTCAGGGAGACAGAGCGTATCAGGCTTCTCCCAAGGTTTGTTCAGGAGGTCACTCTTCACCTTTGCTGCCGCCATGCAACCTCCAGGCAACCCGTTTCAGTCCAAAAGAGGGCATGGGCCTGCAGTGGTCTGGGGCCGCCTCGCCGCTCCTGCTCCTCCGGCAGGAGGAGTCGGGCCGCCTTCTGCTACAGCCGCTACATCTCACGGCGCCGCTCCCTGAAGGTCGGGACGCGAAGCCCACAGCTGGCGCAATCCCCGAAGGCACCAACCGCCACTGACAATCCCGCTAACGGCCGCTAACGGTCTCTCAGCGCTGCCTCAGCGCCTCGCAACAGCGCCGCACACGCGCCGTCACCCCCGCCCTCCGCCGTCTCGCTCCTTCTCGCGAGACTACGAGCTGGCCCAACCCCTACAGGCGACACGTGGCCGGCGGGGTGCCGCCATGTTTGTGCGAGGCGTCGTGCTGGAGTCGCGGGAAGAGGTGGAATTTGGAGCACTGTGAACGTTGGTTTTCTCCCTCCTCCTGTGTGTGGGTATTTTCCGAAATACTCGTTTATCTCCTAGACCTGTTCTTTTAGTCTACTAAAAAGTTTTTGAGCTGTGTAGCTCAAGAGGTTCCGTCCGCAGTTGGGCACGAGGAGTGCATGAGAGGGAGGAGTTAGGTAGAGCTGCTGTTACATCCACCCGGCGCAGTCTCTTTAGGAAACGTAACCATGTTGAGTAAGGCCAGTAAGCAAAAGTCAACCCGTGCAGAAGAGGTGATTTCTCAGCTTGTGCACGGTGGAGGAATTTTAGGAAGAGGTAAAGAATTTTATTTCATAGGTTAATGTTTTACAGTGTTAAAGAGAATTTATAGGAAAGCTTGAAAATACCAAATCTGGAAGAAATTCCTTTTTTAGGTTAGGGTTTGCATTACTTATTTATTTTGTGTCTTCATGGAGTATCTTGGATAGAAACTCCATCATCTGCTGTTGGAATATGAGTAAGGCAGGACTGATGACCAGAATAAATGGATAATTTTATGTCACTGGATAGAGCTTATTTATAACTATCTAGTTATATCTATACTATCTAGTTATAAGTTATATCTATCTATACTAGCACTGGATGCTAGTAGAGCTATAGTACTACAGTAGTAGAACTATAGGCTGGAATTGCCTTTCTTAAGAGAAATTACATATACTATGGGTAGAGTATTATGGAAAAGCCAAAGTGTTATACAGCAATCTGTTGTAATGTTCAAAATGCAAATGTTAATGTGATTTTGTAATTAGGGATATATGGTATTTCTCAGTCTTTTTTGAGTCAAGTTCTACTATCTCTTGATCAAAGACTCCTTTTAAGCAGAAAGCTGCATGAGGGAGGCTTCTGTATATTACTTTTAGTCTTATATTCTTGTGTCAAAGTTGGTTCTTTTACATGAGCACGTATGTTTGTTTGCCTTTGGTTGTCCTGCACTACAGTGGTGCTTAGTGTGTATCTACAGCACACACTAAGGAAATTTCCAGTCTGATTTCTATCACAAGATTAAAGAAGTTATGTTAATCTGATAGACCTAATAGGAACAAGAACAGAGAGGAAAGGAAAAAAAGACAAAACTGAGAGTAGGGGCGAAGCTGGAAGATGCAGGAGACAAAAACAAACAAGATCTTTAGTTGCCATGGGCGTGTAAATTCATTAATTTATTTGAGAGGTAGTCGATCGATGTGTGCGTCTTCCAGCAGTTTATGTGACAGGGAAAGAAACACCGGACAACATGGCACTATTAAGCTCGTTTTGTTGAGAGGATCAAGTAAGTGATAGGCTATATCAGAGAAGTGCTTACATGCATGCATGAATGCGTACATGCCCCCACACACATGCTGAGTTAACTGAGCCTGGCCCTATTTACCTGCCAGAGAATTGACACGGTTAAATATGGGGAGTTGGAACACTTTCTCCGACTAGTCTAAGGTTCATCTCTTTTTGTATTTGGTGAGCTTTCCTTCAAGTAGCAGATTTTCAGTAATCTGATTAATATTTCTGTACCTGCTAAGCAGCTTGCAGCAGTAGCTGTTCTAAATTTCCCAAATAGGGGCATCGATTTCAAAAATGAAAACAATCCAAGATTTTTATTTAGCTATATTGAAAGAACAGAAAAATCCATTTTCTTTGTGAAATGTATACTAAACTGAACTAAAGAGATAAAGATACTGTTTCTCTGAGGATAAATTTTAACTGGACGATCAGAGCAAATGATGGGACAAATCTTTGTGCATTTGGGTCCCCCCTCCCCTTTAAAAACAAACATACCTTGTGTTATGTCAGGTTTTTTGTGTAACTAGTACAAAGAATACCACAGAAAATTCAAAGCTTGCTGAGTGCAGTAGTAGAATTTCATACAGTGGTTTTTTGCTATCAAAGCAAAGTAATTAAATGGAAAGTCATGCTTTCTATTAGGAAAATATCAGTATAAATTGCCTGACTGCAAGACTCTATCATTTCGAAACAACACTGTCTTGATCTTATGCTGAGACAGTCATTTTTGTGCCTTTTTAAAGGCAGATACATGTGCATAGAGGGGAAAAAATCTACAAGAGATCTGGTAACTGCAGAGAAATAACTTTAGGATGGTGAAATTGCAGAAGTTTAATGGACAAATACAATGCCTGAAAAAATATCCAAAGAATAGTAGATCAGTTCTATTAACTGTATTTCAGAGAGAGACTTAGAACAATTTATCAAACTTTTTCTTTTTTTTTCTAAGCACCTGTAGGAGATGGAGAGAATGAACTGTCAGCATAGATTTGTGGGGAACAAGTCAGTCCTACCCTGCCTCACTCAAAAAAATAATGCATGAAGCCTTAAGAGGACGTGACATAAATTAGTTTTGGTAAACTGTTTGTTGAAGCCTTGTGAGACTTGCCCTTAAGCAAGCTAGGGATTTATGGTATATATCAGAATGCTCTCAAGTTACTGTTTAACTTAATAGGGAACAGAGAAGAGAGATTAAAACAAAAACAAAAAAAAACCCCACATTTATTCAGAGTTGATCTGGGGTCATTCAGAAAAGTTGAGTGAATTCCACAGCAGCCTGTACCAAGTCTAGGACTGTTCCATAATTTCAGTGGTAACTTAGGTGATTATAATAGAGATAACTTTTGCTGCAGTCATATAGGAGGACAGGGTTCAAGTTCAAAATAATCACAATTAGTTTCAGAAACGAGAGAAAATAATAGCACATAGTTTGGTCAAAACAAGCAACCGAGGCTAACTGTAGCTGCATAGACTAACTAACTGCGTAGATGTAAGATGGGGAATGACCTCTAACCTGTCAGGAAAGAGTACGGTGAAAGCATGTTCAGCATGCCCTACTGTTACAGGCATACCCAGGTCTGGACTCCTCACTTCCTAACACAGCTGTTTATACTCTCAATATCACTAATATGAGAGCTCAGAGCTCAGAAAGTGTTACAGGACCTGGTGGAAGATCCTTTGGAAAATTTCCAAAGGAGGCATAATATCTACCTCTTCTTGTACAGAATTGGTAACCTGTAGCAAAGGTACAAGAGACAAACTTGATGGCAGAATGTTTGAAACTGCTAAAAGTAAATGAAGTGGCACTATTTTTTTTTTTTCTTCTTTCTTTCTCCCCTCTTTTTTGGCCTTTCAGTGGAATTAACTCTGTTATTAAAATGAACTAGACTGGTCATTTTACAAATACTTGTATCATTGTTCTCCATACTGACTGAAAACCTAGTTAGACTGTTTCGGAAAGCTCTCCTGACCACTCTCTGTCGTCATTATGTTTCTCCTCTCAGACCACCAGATGGCTGTTCAGGTGTAACAGTGGCAACTGTTTGATTCTGTTTGCCAGCCATGAGATAGAAGAACTCTAGAAGCACTTGAGTACTGCAGATATGAATGAGGGCAAATTTAAAACTTTTATTTTCTATAATGTGGTAATTACATTTGAGAGAAGATCGTGCAGACTTTGCAATAAATTATTGTTCAAAATAATCTATTTCAAATGATTTAGTTTGTATTTTTTTCTGTGTATGTTTGTACTTATTCTGCATTGGTTATTTTCTAGGTGTATCTCCAGAAGGACAGAAAATTAAGCAAAAGAACAGAATACATTCTGGATTTTCTTCCTGTGTGCAGTCTACACTGATTGAAGTGTTGAACCCACTCATAGGACCAGCTTACTGTAAGTAGACTCCAACAGAATGAAACACACTTTATAAAATGTTGTTTAGTTCCTAGTGATATAGTACTCTATGAAGGAAGCAATTCCATGTACTTATGTGCTTACAGAATATTGAGAGAACAATGAGGAAGTTTAAATGTTTTCTGATTTTAACAATTTAATATTTCTGATGCTCCCCAAAGTCTCCTCTGAAACTAAGTTTTGAGAAGGAGTAACAGGAAGAATGTAGACACTATTGGCCAGGTTTCAGAATCCTCTGTACAATAGGCTCAAGCCTAAAGCTTCTGATCCTTTGATATTTAAATGTAATGAGTGCATAATGATCTTTTGAATGAGTGCATAATGATCTGAGATGTATTTTACAGTCATGAGCAAAAGCTAGAATTACAAAATAAAGAAATTATGAAGAGTTCCCATCATTCTTTTTCTCTATCTCTTCCATTGCCTTCCATGTTATTAAATAGCACAGACTATTCTTATGTATTTGTCAGTTTTATTCTGTATTCTTATGTATTTGTCAGTTTCATTATGAGGCACAGAAGGATTGGTTCTGAGATGGTCAGAATGACAATCAGAGACACACTCTTGTGATTGATAAAGTGGTAAATAAACATTTTTCAGGCTGAATTTTATCAGAGTGATAAAAGTTAACATAAAACATACCTTTTTTTTTTTTTTTTTTTGTTAGAGGAATGGATGTTTTGAGATATTTTGAATTTACAAGAACCCACGTGTATAAATATGTTTCTTTGACTGTATTATCTTATTTGTAATAGGTACCTGAGTTGGCTCCCCAGTTTTGTGGTTTATTTTTAGGAGTTTTAAGACACAAAATCCTGCTACCAAAGATGATTTGTGATTTCTGTTTGATTTAGAAAAATCAGATGTAAGAGAATTTTTTATTGGTTCATTTGATGGACTCTTGCGTTTATATGGTTAAAATGTGTGCACATGCAAATTTTTAAAGATAATAAAAATAGTGCCTTAATCAGGGCATAATATAGTATATTCTTTAAAAGCTTGACTTCTTGACATCAATGAAATAGAGATGTTGAAGTTAACTGGAATAGTCAGTGCATGACTTTTGCATGTCTGAAATACAGATCTAACAACAGAAATGAGAAGTTTTGTTGTATGGAGCATTTGATGATCTGTCAGGGTGAAAGGGATCAGTGTAATTTTGACACTTTATTTTCTGTCATCTTAAAATATTTCTGTATCTACTGTTTTTTTTTTTTTTCTGGCTCTAGAATATGTAATAGTACTAGAGGTTGCTTTTCATGATTGCTCAAAGTTGACTTTTTGGGGGGATATAGGGATTGCAGCTTGCCATCTGTTGCTTCATTCTCTACACATTTTTACTACATCGACTACAGGCTGTTTAGCTGGCTTTATTATTTGCAGATAGAAGGCAAGGCTTATGTAATCAAACAGTGTAAGCGCATATTGATGGTCATCTGCATGGTTTATATCTGCAGTTACTATCTTTGAACCTGGAAAAGACTGGAGGCATTTTGAAAGAGATGAAAAAGTGTCCATCCTATATTCCTGGATAACTTTTATGGCATGTGACTGAGCTGAGATATTCAGATACAGGCCAAATGTCTTCAGTGCTGTTGAACTGTTGGTCAGTGGAAAATACATGGGGGAGCAAATTATGACAATTACCTCTGTGGGAAAATTTTCAGACAGAGCTTTGCTCCTTAAGCAGGCATGGACTACATTGAATTGCACAATCTTTCAGCTGCATGTAACTAAATGTAACTGCATGTAACTATGTCAGAAACAAAGTATCATCTCTTTTTCCATTGTTAGTAAAAATGTTTGCTTCTGAAGACTAGTTGCAGTGTTCTGTGAAAGCACGTGCTTTTCTGCTTGAGTAGAGGGAAAAACAGATGCTCCTAATTGTGTATGCCTGTGTTCTTTGTAACCCCATGGAGATGCAGGAGGAGAAACTGAGCACGGAGTTCAGTTAGGTGAATTAATTCTGCTTCTAAGCTGTTGTTTTAGGTATATTTATGATGCTTCAATATGTGGTAGTTTAACAGCAGAACTCTTATTGAGTGGTAAACATTCGTGGGTAGGAAATATTTGAAGTTCATACATAAAGCACGGTTCAATTTACTTAAATCTGTGAACAGACTTTAGTCTTCTCTGCTTGTGACTAGTGTCCAGTATTCCAGAGAAGCTAGGAAGCTTACAGTAATGGACCTAAAATAATATTGAAACTGTTTGTCCAATACATTTATTTCTGTCTTTTACCAAAAGTGATCAATTTTGATTGTCAAATTATATATTGTTGTCTCATTGAACTTCAAGTATACTTATTAAAATGGCAGTGACACTCAAGTCTGATGTGTTAAATTTTAATCATTTCTTTTGTCAAAGAAACAAATTATGAGATTAACTCAAGAATCATTGTTAAATTTAAAGTGCAAGGTAGTGGGAACACAGAAAATGCTTTATGATGAGTTTTCGTCAATCTGTATAATTTTTCAGTTAAGCAGTCATAAATCAAGGAATATTGTATTTTTTGAGGCTCATTAAGGAGACATTATACATTAGAATAGTGAGGCAGTCAGCATAATGAAATGATGAATGCCTATAACTATCTGTATGTAAATGATGTGAGACAGATTTGCTGGTGCTACAGAGGAGAATAACAATCTATTTGACAGTTCCCTGTAGGTGCTACTTCTGGATACAAGTGACAGATGTTAAATGTAAACCTCTTCAACGGCAAGCACTTATTAGCACTCAGTGGGGAAAAAATGGCAATATAGAATAAGACAAATAGCAGATAATGCCATTTAAATAACTTTGTTCTTACAAAGCTTTACTGCCAATATGTTAAAGTCTGTGGAGGCTGGTTTTCTTGTTTGTTTATTTTCCCTGGAAAGATCAGGTATGTAAGGGAAATTTCTGGAATTTAGAAAAGTGGCATTTCAAATAAACATGGAAAAAAGCACTCAATATTATGAGAATTTTTGACAGAAAATATAAAACTTCCATCAACAAACACCTCTTAGTAAATACTTATCAAATCCTTGTTATCTGTCATAAAAGCCAGTACTGTGTATGCTGTCATTACTTGATTGACCAAATTAATTTCAGGTGCTGTTTCTTTCTTTATTCATGTGATGCAATGGAGGCTTTTTTTTTTTAATCTATGATTTTTATGGAAAAGAGGCAGAAGCAGCTGATGAAAACAAGCAGGTAGTAGCAAAGAGGTTTTAGGATGTCTTACAATTTTATGTCTAGGTCATTTGTTTCTGGCCTAGTCTGAGATGCTACTCCTACAAGTATAAATATTAATCTTGATGGAATTCACATTTCAATAATAATCCAGCTTTTCAACAGAGATCAGCATTAAAGTAGTTCAGGAGACTATCAGAAGCATTGGATTTCTCTCATACTACTTTGTAATGTATTAGGTTAGAGATTTTTGTAATATTTTAGACTAGAGATTTATATTTCTTTAAAGTAAGAAGCCTAGGCATATGCATTGACCTACCTGCCTTGAAAACTGCTTGAGAGGCTAGAAATCAAATGTGATGATACATGTTTATATGTTTAGCCTCCATACTGCCTTGTGTCTTTCAGTATTATGAAGTTTTTTGACATTATTTATTCTTTCTCTGTTACATTTTGTCAATTGCTAAAGCTACCTTGTGTTGCTTGCAGTAAATCTTTTAGAAACTTTGTGTTTCCCTGTACAGGGAAATTGCAGTTGCAGATTATTGATTCGTTTTTCATGAGGTTCAGTTATCAGCCACATATGCAGTGTCTGGCTTACTGGATGGATGTATTGGTCCTTTGTCTATGGTACTTGCTAATTTGTTTCTTTATTGCTTTGCTTTGAGTAGGGCGTATCCATATTCCATCTCCTGGATTTTTGGAAGAATAGCTGAAGTTCATTCCTATATACTTTTTGCCACATGTCCCTGGCTTGCGATTCAGACCTATCTGCAGTTTAGCAGCCTAATGTATCAAGACGTCTTCCTCAGATAGATCCTGGCCTGTATCTATGTAGAACAAGATGAATTTGAAAAATATGGAATGTAACTATCATTGGGAAAGGAGAATAAAGATACAAGTTGAGCAGCAATCCATGATTTTAACAGCCTTTTCACATAGTTAGACTTTGTATGGATGTAACACAGTTTTTTAAGTATGGTACCTTCCTGAAGCTAGATCTTAAAGCAGTTAAAGGAGTTTGGGGAAGATGTACTTTTCCTACCTCAGAGAACAGGATTAGAAAAAATACTTATAAGAAGCTATGCCAGTCTTTTGCTTTGCCATTGTTTTTGGCTGTTGGAAGTCCACTATGATCTCATTAAGCTGCCAAGACCTCTTTAGAAAAAAATAGGTTAATGTCTGTAGCTTCAAAGGTCCAGATATTCTCTTGAGATGTCCTGACATCTATTTTGGACATTCTTGAACCCCAAAATGGAAAAACAAAACTTTTTCTTCTGCCCTTTCTGTGATGTCAAGTGTAGTAAGTAAGAGCACGGAGATCTGAGATCACTACGTCTGTAACTGGGTTCTGTCTATTCTCTGAGATTGGTCCTATCCAGTGCTGTGGAAATTACTAAAAAGCCAGTCTTTTACCAGTGTTTTAGTTGCATGACTTAATATCATAATACATGCAAAGTACAAATTGAGAAATGAGTGTTTTTTTGTTCAGAATGCAGATTCAATTGTATGGGGTTAGTAGTCGTCAAGCTGGGCTTCATAGGAAAAAGATGACAAGACATATCTAAATGTAACTTTTCAGTGAGCACTGTCCGAACAGGAAGAGTGTGTGTATTCATGATGATCACAGCTTGTAGGGAGGAAATAGAGGAACTTAGAATTTCTAGTTTTTAAACATTCGACACTTAAGATGTAAGAAGACTATCATCAGCATTGAGAGCTTTTTTTCAGGGAGGATATACATGTGATATTTGTTTTAAATTATCTTTTAAAATAGAAATATATTTAGCTCAGAAGTTTTTATTTGATGAATCAATGCTTGTAAGGTACTCAGCTCTGACTAAACATTATATACACATAAAAAATATAGTCTCTAAATACATACAAAATGTGTATAATCTACACGTCTATAAATACAGGCTAAATATAGGCTAAGTAAACACTGCATTTTTATTTTAGAAAAAAAAAAAAAAAGAAAACCACAGGTGAATAATTTATGGTATATTGCAAATGCTTCTGGGATGTTGAAAGAAATGCCTTTGAAATGACTGACTGACTGAACTTTTTTGGTTAATTGGAAAACATACTGAAGCATAAATGTTACATTGCCTCATTACCTGTGTTTAGCATAAATAATAAATACAATGACATTTTTAAATTGCTGAAAATCAGTTCCTGCTGCAGTATCTTCATTTAAGATGTTGTAACTCTTATCACTAAGCCAAGATCTTACTAAAAAAAGTTATAGTGGCTATATAAGGTAGCATGAGAATTTTACTGCACTGTCATTTAAAATCAACTCAGGTGTACTAGAGTGCTTGGGCAATTGCTACCTAGACTTAACTTTGCACAGAACTCAGTTTTAATTTTTAAATTTCTGTATATAAGCTAAAGTTGAACAGTTTTTTTTCCCAAATATCTAGAACCCAGATTTTAAGTATTGGTTGTAAAAATATTGAAACCTCTTGAAATCCCTTTGATTTTAAAGTAAACCTACTGCAGTATATACAGTGGTGCTCATGCAGTTTCTGCTTTTTAAAGATCCAGATAATGTATGAAGATGTTGAATGCCAATTGTATGAGCTGACTTCAGGTGTGTCAGGTTGAACATGACAGGAAATTACAAAACTAAAATATAAATGTAGTATATGAGTTTCAGCATAATCTTTAGTAGATTATTTAGGGGTTTTTTTAGATGTTTTTTAGTAGTCAAAAAAGTTAAAGAAGTTGCATCTTGTAATTTACTGCACTGGCAATACATTTTAACCAATAATATTTTAATTAACTGAACTGTTAAAATCAAAATCCTTGTAGGTTTAAGAAATGCACAAATTAAAAATGTCTTGCAGACCAGTTTAAGGAGGTTTGGTCTTTTTCCAGTTTTTACAAGAAACATTTACAATTTTGCGTGTATAAGGACATTGTCTGAATCTAAAACGGGATCTTCACAAGTGATATGAAAATAAAGAACAGTAGTGCTCATTTGGGTAAAAGATGAAGGGAAGCATTTGTCTAGGCAAGTTCTTTAATGGATGTATTAACTTTTGTTTGTTGTCCGTATTAAATTATCTGTACTATAATTCAAAAATAGGAATCTATGGATCTACTTATGTTTGTTATGTCTGAGTTTTTTTCCATTTTCTACTGAGATCGTGAAACTTGAACATTCTTACACAGTCATCAAAATATCCCAGTTGTGTGATGCTGCCCAGCCAAAGGAGGCCTGAAGTTTACAAAACTGTTTAGGGGAGAGATCTATTTGAAGAGGAGGCTGTAATCTGTTCTTCAGTCCTTTCAGTGTGAAAGTCCAGTTTTATGTTAATAGTATGTAGGTAGGCTCATAAGGATTGTAATGAGGGTGATACAGGGATAGTGGATGCTTCACTCCTGCTCCCAGAGTTTGGAACCCTAGCAGCAGGAACCACCAAAAATTGCTACAGTCTTCCATTTGTCCATCCGTGGTTTGCCTTTTAAAAAAGCACAGTGGTGGTTTTTTTTTTTTTTTTTTTTTTTTTTTTTTAACTTCGTTGCCAGACAATAGGGAAATAAGCAATAGTATTATCTTCAGGCTTTTGCTGATTTCAAGAATATAGTGTATATTTAGTAGTCTCAAAACAGTCATTTGTTTTCAAGTTTGAGATATAGCCGAATTTTTGCCATAGAGGCTTTTTGTGAGGAGAAAATAGAATGACAAACAGAAGATTTATGGCTAGTATTGAAAATACTGTGGAGTGTGCAATTGAATTGCAACATACTTAGGTTTCCTCTTCAACCATTGTAAAATTTTGACATTTAAAATTGAGGCTGAAGGTGAAGGATTATGGAGAAGACACAAAGTAAAATTGTAACTAAATATGAGAATACAATAGAAAAGAATAAGCAATGGGAAGTATGTCTTTGGACACTGTTGAAGAGGATTAGATGAAGGGTTGCTTGAAAGAGAGAAAGATAATGAGAGAAGAAA